GACATCTGTGCTCAAAGAGTTGGATTATGAGAGTTAATACTAAAACTTGCTCACAAATATTTACCTTGTTTTAAAGTGTTGAGAATTTTTGTATGTCTCATAAGCTACAGTAATGTCTAAGTGGTCGCCAAAGAATACCATTCTTTAGTTCTTCAATATTAATTAAGTTTCTCAAAAAATTATACAAATTAAACCTCAGAAAGGTTAACTTTTATTGAATTAAAAAGTAGGGTTTTTTTCCTTACTGTAAAAATAATCCTTTTGGTGTTCTATTGCACCGTAGGGTAACAATAGTTAACAATAAATACTGTGTTTTTCTAAACAGCTAAAAGACTTTTTAATGTTAACACTACAAAGAATACTTGAAAATATGAAGTGATGGATGCTAATTATCTTAATTTTATCATTAAAATGTATGCATGTATCAACATATTACATTGTACACCATAAGTATTTGTTGATAAGTACAAATAATACTAATAAAATAAGTACTAATAAAAAAGCACCCCTGTTAAAAACAGTCTCGGCTGTCTGCTTCACAGACAAGCTGGGTGAGAAACAGCATCCTCCTGGGCATTCTACTTTTATTTTATCGAAGTGCTCAACAGTCAGAAATGTTTGTCCTTTTAAGTAGTTTCCTTCCTAGTGAATTTAGTAACAATGAATACAGATTTGCTGCAGGCCTAATTGTGTGACTCCTCTACTTTGGGAGAACCGCTCTGCAGCATGGGCTCCCAACACTGCTCCATCATCACTCTGCTCATCTTCCTTGCCCCAGGGGGCTGAGAGCATGGATTTCTCAGCGCATCAGCCAGAGTGCACAGGTCCCTGTCTGTGCAGAGGTGCGAGCTACATCTCCTGAAGGGTCTGGACCATCGCCAGACAGGGGCTGAATATTTGTTATCACACGTGGGGACACAGGAGAGATCTCGAGAATAAAAACAATGAAATGGGCTCCAGAGGAGTTGGCTACCTTCACCCATGGTCATAAGAGGAATTTTTCTTTCTCATTTAATCTGAGACAGAGCTTGAAACTTTAAACTAAGCTTGGGCATCATAGAGTACGTGAATAATGCCACGTGGAAGCCAGGTGCAGTGTGAGGCAGTGGATGCAGGGACCAGTCCCCCTCACACTGTAGGGAGAGGGCCTTGGCGCCACTGAGAGCTCACGGATGGCACCCGGGCTCTCAAACAGAGCACGGCACTGCACAGTGTGGAGTGGGTTGGGACTAAGGTGCTCTCTGGATACAACTGGGAGAGCTCAGTGTTGTTGACGGGGGGGTTGGGGCGGGGGGCTCTTCTGAACCTCACTCAAGTGCCAGGGAACTCTAAGTAAAGTTTGGAGCAAAGCTCTCCCCAGACCACAGTTACCCAGGAGAGAATGGAAGAACATGCAAAGACAGGTGACAGGTTCCACTGGGGACTCCATGCTCTGTGCTTTTCAGTGGGATCTGTCACCTTTCCCCAGACACCACAATGACAATCCAGAGAGAGATGAGCTGAGTCTTTTCCTTAAAACCTTGCAGGTTGCTCTCGGGTGCAAGGAATCCCCCAGCTGTCGTCCTGGGTAAGTGGCTCTTTATTCCATGGACGGGCAATCAGGGCAGGTGCAGAGTGTAAGGAAGCAAACTGGGACTAAGGTGAGGTTTGTAGCAGCCTCAGAAGAGACAGGGCTCCAACAGTCCTCCACAGCTCAGGAGTGCTCTCTGTGCAACACCATGGGGAAATGGTCTTCTCGCAGTACTTGGTCTTTTAATTAGGTAACTCATAAAAATTTTTTCACATAAAACAGGTAACTGATCAATTTTAGTTTCCCGTTCACTGTTTTGGATGAAATAATTCTCATTTGCTTGATATTTCAACTCTTACTCACTTAATCATTTTCTAATCACTGTTGACTAAAATGCGACTCATTCATAACCACACGTTATGAATTTTAATTGTTTTCATTTATTATCTTTGCTAATTGCATCTTTATCAGAGTGCTTGAACCATTATTTTAAAATACTTTTTAGATTTTTTTCATAAAATGAGAATGGATTTCTTGTATTTCATAGAAAATTCTAATGAGATAATTGACTTTATGCTTAATGTCTACCACTCACCATAATATTCGAGAAGTACAAAGACCACTGTTCCACTGGAGTATACACAAGGGATAGAAGTACTTCTAATATCTTTTTTAATAAATACTGTAACCCTTCAGAAGGAAAGGGGATCTCTGTTCATAGCCACGCAGTGAGCAGGAAATGCTCCCCTTCCTCCACAACGTCCACCCCCATTCTCTCATGAAGACCTCCCTTGTGCTGGCTTCAACTGCACACATTTCAGACTGGAGGAGTCAGCTCTTAGGGAGTGAGCAAAATTCCAATCTGGAAGAGAGGGAAATGAGGCTGAAATGACACTGAACACAGGAAAATGAAATGGGATGGGACTTTACCCTTCCTATCTTCTAGTGACAGAAGAATAGGACCTCAGAAATATACATCCAACTGCTTTACATCCATTAGAAATTAAATTCTCCAGAAACCTTTTAGGATGTTCTAGAACAAAATAAATGTCATATACCCTAATGTTTAAGCTTAGATTTATGCTTTTGCCCCCTAATTTGAGTATTGAAGAGAGAAGATTATGTCGTGCAGGCCTGCATATATCCTAACACATAAATGTGGAACAATCACTCTTTCTTGTCAGCGAGCTCCTAACCAGTCCATGCTGTGCAGGTCAGGAGTGTGGGAGGAGTCACGGCTGGGGAGGATTTGCTAAGAGTGTTGCTTTAAGCTTCTTTTATGAAATGTTCACATGTTTCAGAATAATTTCTAATAAAATAACAGCACAAAAATAGCCAATATAAAAAAAGGAATACAGAGCTCATCACCTAACACATGCACATCAATATAAAAAGTGGACTCTGGTCTTCAGCTGCCTCTCTGGTCCCCAACAGGAGCCACTATCAGTGGGTGCCCTGAGTGTGAACAGCTCTGTGGTTTTCCTTCATCACCATTCTGTCTAAAGGAGGAGAACTTTCCCAGCTCCTTCTGAGGAATTTCCCCTGTAGAAAAACAGACTTCTCCAGTGGCTCTGAAGGTGGCTCCACCTAAAATGGGATTTCCTGATCTGATCCCAAGTTCCTGCCTTTTCTCACACATGCCCCTGAGAAACACTGAACATCTGGAGCCCACACACTCACAACCTAGCTGAGGTAAACATACTACTAAATTAGTTTTATAACACCATGTATTCACAAAGTTCAATTTAGTTTTAAAATGTGAAGTAAAGCAAACTTGCACCAGAGAACTTCAAAAATTCATGGAAAATGGAATAAAAAGGTAAGTTTATTTTAATGCAAAAGTCTAGGTATATTTTTTCATATTTGTATGAATGAAAAATTAAAAGACCCTTCATATGCAAGGATTTTTAAATTTTTCTGAAAAATGGGCATCACAGAATTCTATAAAGTTCTCATATGTTTCAAAAAAGTAACAGAAGTTTACTTTCCATTTTATTTATTTTTATCAGAACTTTAGTTTTTACCTCAATCTTTTAAAGAGTTGTAATGTTACTTTATGTCCATTAAATGTCATTATGCTAAAATACTGTAATATTTCTGAACTTATGTGAAATAAATACACAAGAAATGGGTACGTGTCCCTTTAGACACAGGAAAGACAGTGAAGACTGTTCAGAGCTGTCTGCTTAATGCTGGTACAGGACCTATAAAATGCAGAGACAGGTAGATGAAGAGGCATGTATTATCCTGCTTTCACCTGAGCCTACAACAGGATCAAACGTTATCTTGTCAAATCTATCAATGCAACAGACTATGCCATATTTCATCAATACTTTACCTTTTAAAATGCCACTATGGAATTTCTGTTGTAGAGAACTGCAGATGTTCCAAAGTTCAGACCAAGTTCCCACATGGTCTCTGGATTCTTAAACGCTCAACAGCAATGGAGCTTAAACACTTCAGTTTCTCCTTAACAACTCAAATTATGGAACCACAAAGCTACCTGAGGACGCAATTCAAACTGATATCCTTGATTTTCAGATGATAAATACATGAAACCACGTTACTGGAATTTTACTGCAATGTTATAAACCTCATATTGATAGCTTTTGAATAAAAGTTAATAGCTATGTTGCATGGGGATGCATCCCCCAAGTAGGTCAGACCAAGTTCTCCAGCATAAACTTTACACTTAGGTCACATGCACTTTCCAACCTAACGGAGACAAAGTCCCAGGCTCCGTGTAGAACAACCTTCTTTGTAGAGGAAGAGGAAGTGTCCCACCCTTATTTCTATACAAAGGTATCATCCATCTACTTAGACTATGAACATACACACCGTCATTTCCACAAGCCAGGAATGGACAGAGAAGGAACAGAGGGTGTTCAGCACCTGCTACTCTGGTGCTCACTTCCCCCTGCTCCTCCAGGCAGGGATGGAGCTGGCACATTAGGAGAGGTTGGCGCTCTCTCCAGGTGAGCTCAGGAGGAGAACCTCACAGGGACAGCAGTGGCTGCAGTTTCTGCAGAGACCATTGTTCCCCAGGCAATACACCTGTTCACACATCTACCCAATACCCTCACACACACAGAAGCTCTAACAAGTAACATGCTTACCTCTAGTTACACACAATTGGGGCTCAGACGTGTTAATCTACAGCTGAAGGTCACAGTAAATATCAGATCACAAACTTAAATGCAGAGTTCACACAAACAAATATTTAGTCTCTTAGGTAAGTTTTAAGAATATTTGTCTAAAAATAAATCAATATAAATTGTTAGACAACCATATGCATGGATACACAAATGACACTTATTGTATATAGGGGTCTAATTTCTCCTTTCCTTAAATTCTTATTTAAATTCATCTGAAATTGTAAAACTCATACTCTGTATCCAGAAATTTACCAAGAAATTCACAAATACAAAAGGAAATAACTCATTGTCCATGGTTTGAAAAACTACAATAAGGAAAAAAAATCAAGAAACAATTTTCACATGAAAATTTTATTGTCCAAGTCCTGTGGGAGCCCAGCAGTGAGATACAGTATCCAATCATGATTGACAGCTGTCAGCTAGGAACAGAATGGCTTCCAGGAGAGTGAGGGTGGCTGAAGTATTCCCTGGTAAAAAAAAAAAAAAAGGTACAGTGGGATTGATCCACACATCTACATGATGAGTATTTGTTCTAAAACTGATAAATGGGGTTATGATTATGATTATGATAAATAACATCTTACTTTTCCTCATTTACTACATGATTTTTCTCCAAAGATGAATAAAAATATACTTTCCAACTTTATTGCCATAAGAAATGCCTTTTTCTCAGAAGTCAGCATTGGGATCACAGCCAACGCCTTCCTTCTTCTCTTCCACATCCTCTGGTTCTTTCTCAAGCACAGGCCCAGGCCCACCGACCTGACCATAGGACACCTGGCCCTCATCCACCTGGTGATGCTGATCACTGTGGGGGTCATAGCTGCAGACATTTTTGAGTCTCAGGAGTCATGGGATGACATCACATGTAAAGCAGTCATCTACTCATACCAGGTGATGCGAAGCCTCTCCCTATGTAACACCTGTCTGCTGAGCATCCTCCAGGCCATCACCCTCAGCCCCAGGAGCTCCTGGTTGGCAAAGTTCAAGCACACATCCTCACAGCACATGTGTGGGTTTCTCTTACTATGGGTCTTCAATTTGTCCATCAGTGCTCGTTTCTTAATCTCCACTGTTGCCACCACAAATCGTACGTCCAACAGTCTTATGTTTGTCACTAAATCCTGCTCTCTTTGGACCCTGAGCTATTTACCCAGGTATACTTTTTTTGTAACTGCTATCTTCAGGGATATCTCCCTGCTAGGGCTCATGGCCCTCTCAAGTGGGTACATGGTGACCCTCCTGTGCAGGCACAAGAGGCGGTCCCAGCACCTTCACAGCACCAGCCTCTCTCCAAGAGCCTCCCCAGAGCACAGGGCCACCCAGACCATCCTGCTGCTCATGAGCGTCTTTGTGCTCCTGTACTTGATCGACTGCATTGTGTTCTCATTCTCATGGATGTGGTGGAAGAGTGACCCAGTTCACTTTTGTGTCCAGATGTTGGTGGGCAATGGCTATGCCACCATTGGTCCAATGTTGCTCATAGGTAGTGAAAAACGAATGATCAAGTTTTTCAAATCCATGTGGGAGAAGGAAAGTGTTTACTTGTTCAGGAATAGATAACATGTCTTATACGAGTAAATACTTAGACTGCCTGCAGGACGTGCTCACTGGCTTACTTGAAATACTTGGGTTTAAAGGAAATCCAAGATGGCTGAATAGTGAGAAAACACACTGAACTTGGCTAAATAAAGTTATGAGGAAAATAGGAAGAACCACATTCTCAGGGGGCTGATTAAGAGAAATATTCAGTGGAGAATGGACAGAACAGAACAGAGAATCCACAGAGCAGCACATGGCCATCAGCCACTCTTGTATCTTCACCAGTGGCTCATGGCTGGGATTTGCCATCGTCACAGGGCTAGGTGACAGGCTGCTCTGATCCAGCTCCCTGCTAACCACCTGGGAAAAACAGCTGAAGATGGCCAAATCCTTGCAAACTATGCATCTGATAAAGGATTAATACCCAGCATATATGAGGAGTTCAAGAAACTCAACAACCCAAATTAGAGAAGAAATAGACAGGATATTTATGGGCATTTTTCAAAGGATGAAATACAAATATGCAACAAACATATGGAAGAATGTTCAGCTACAATAGTCATCAGGAAAATGCAAATTAAAACCACAATGAGGGATCACCTTACCCCAGTTAAAATGTCTACCATGTAAAAATGTACAAATAACAAATGCTATTAAGGATGTGGAGACAAAGCTACCTTAATACACAGTAGGTAGGAATGCAGACTGGTATAAGCATTATGGTAGGCAATATGGAGATTCCACAGGAAACTAACAATACATCTGCCATATGACCCAGCTATTTCACTTCTGGGACTGCATCCAAAGGAACTATAATCAGTGTTTGAAAAGGTTCCCTGCACTCCCACATTTGTAGCAGCTCTGATTCACAATACCCAATATATAGAATCAACCCACATGACCATTAACCTGTTACTAGGTAAAGAAAATGTAACATATATATACATACACAATGGACTACTACTCAGCCATAAGGAACAATGAAATCCTGACATGTTAACAAAATGGATGCAACTGAAAATCACTATGCTAAGTGAAGTAAGCCAGACCAAAAAGACAAATACCCCATGTAACTATTGTCTGTGGTAATTAATATTGTGTATTCAAAAAAGATGTTTAGAGCATATCTTTTGACATATAAATATTGCTTCACTGAATTATTCAGTGTAGATGACAACATACTCATATTTCACAAATTAAAAAAAAAGAAATGGTGAAGAAGGAATTTTGAGGGCTCTTGATGCATTAGTAATACTTTGTTTTTAAATTGGGTGCAGGTAAAGTACATTTGGATGACCAAAAACCTCATCTATCTGTATATTTATGTACATTTCTTGTTATGTACAATTTATTTCAATAAAATTCCTAAATTATATATATGAAGATTTTTTCTGTTAACCCTATTGACTTTGGCACATGTTGACAGTAAATAATAGATAATTTAACCCTCTAACAACTACTAGGCAAACCCAAGGACCCAATTCAAATCAGAAACACCATAACTGGAACTCACTCTGAGTCTCAAAATTCAGGTGACAAAACACAGGTGAGTTATTAGGGATGGACATGGCATCTAAGGCCATGCAGGAGGAAAGGATACTACAGGGGAATAGAGAACATTGTGGATGTGATTGTGGTTACAGGATCACCAGTTACACATATGCTGCAATTTCTCATTCAGTAATGCAAGCATGGTTCTACATGTAAAATCAACTCATGGAGTATTTCACAGGAGTAGAATGGAAAATAAACACATAATTACCTTAACAGATTCAGAAACAGTCTTTGATAAATGCAACACGATTTGTAATTTTTTTTAAAATTAATTAAACTAGGAATAGAAAGGAACTCAGTCAACCGACAAGAGACCCATGTGAAAAAAAAAATCACAGTTAGCATCATATTTATGAAAGAATGAAATATTTCCCTGAAAGATCATGAAGGAAAACAAGACAATGATATTAACTTTTGCCATTTCTCTTCTAATTTTACTAAAAGTTCTATACAAAATATTTACCCAAGGAAAAGACATGAAATTCACCCAGATTGGAAAGGTCTCAGCTGAAGCCTGCTCCAACAGGGTTACCCAATCTTAGACTGTGAACCTCTAAACTGTGGGATGAAATAAATCTCCTTGGTCTGGCCAGTGCCACGGCTCAATAGGCCAATCCTCCGCCTACGGCGCCGGCACACTGGGTTCTAGTCCTGGTCGGGGCGCTGGATTCTGTCCCGGTTGCCCCTCTTCCAGACCAGCTCTCTGCTGTGGCCTGGGAGTGCAGTGGAAGATGGCCCAAGTCCTTGGGCCCTGTACCCACATGGGAGACCAGAAGAAGCACCTGGCTCCTGCCTTCGGATCAATGCGGTGCACTGGCCGCAGCTAAAAAGCTTCTGTACTGCAAAGCAAACACTCAACAACGTGAAGAGGCAACTGACAGAATGGAAGAAAATATTTGAAAACTATGCAACTGATAAAAGTTGCATAGTTTAATATTCACAATTTATAAAGAGTTCAAGGAACTCAACAACAAAACAAACAATGAAATAAAAAAATGTTCAAAGAACTTGAACAGGCATTTTCCAAAAGAGGAAATCCAAATGGTCAACAGACACATAGAAAAATACTCAGGATCGGGGTCAGCACTGTGGCGCAGTGGGTTAACGCCCTGGCCTGAAGCGCTGGCGTCCCATATGGGCACTGGTTCTAGTCCCGGCTGCTCCACTTCCGATCCAGCTCTCTGCTATGGCCTGGGAAGGCAGTGGAGGATGGCCCAAGTCCTTGGGCCCCTGCACCCGTGTGGGAGATCTGGCTCCTGGCTTCAGGTCGGTGCAGTTCCGGCTGTTGCGGCCATCTGGGGAGTGAACCAGTGCATGAAAGACCTCTCTCTCTCTCTCTTCACTCTCTCTGTGTAACTCTGACTTTCAAATAAATAAATCTTTAAAAAAAAAAAAAAAGAAAAATACTCAGGATCACTAGCCATCAGGGAAATACAAATCAACACCACAATAGGTTTCATCTCACCCGTCAGAATGGCTCTCATACAGAAATCAACAATAAATGCTAGAGGGGATGTGGGGGGAAATGTACCCTAATCTTCTGTTAGTGGGAATATAATTAGTACAGCCATTGTGGAAGACAGTATGGAGGTATCTCAGGAACCTGAAAACAGATCTACCAGATGACCTAGCCATCCCACTCCTGAGAATTTACCCAAAAGAAATGAAATAAGCGTAACAGAGTTATCTGTACCCATGATTACTGCAGCTCAATTCACAACAGCTAAAACATGTAATCAACCCAGATTTCCATCAACCTACATCAGGATAAATAAATTTTATGTGTGTATGTGTGTGTGTAAACTATGGAATACTACTCAGCCATAATGAAGAATGAAATCCTGTATTTTGCAACAAAATGGATGCAACGGGAAACCATTACATTTAGTGAAATAAGCCAGTTCCCAAAAGACAAATACTATATGTTTTCCCTACCTGTGGTGACTAATAGAATTCCAAAAAATATACTGTATAGGAGTAAAATTGACATTTTTGAGATCCGGTGACTGCTTATAGCTCCTGTCTCTACTATTGAAGAACAATGGTTTTTTTCTTCTTAACGTTTGTTGAACTCTTTATTCAGTATAGGGTTAATCTTATAAAAATAAAGTGTGGGGCTGGTGCTGTGGTGCAGTGGGTTAATGCCCTGGCCTGAAGTGCCAAAATCCCATATGGGTACCGGTTCTAGTCCCAGCTGCTCCACTTCAAATCTAGCTCTCTGCTATGGCCTAGGAAAGCAGTAGAAGACAGCCCAAGTCCTTGGTCCCCTGCACCTGCATGGGAGACCCAGAAGAAGCTCCTGGCTTCAGGTTGGCGCAGCTCCGGCCATTGTGGCCAATTGGAGAGTGAACCAATGGATGGAAGGCCTCTC